GCACTCTCAATTATCCAACAGCTATGGCAACACACCTACAACAGTGTCCTGTCTGCCAGTTTGTAGCACTATAATATATCATGCATACGTCTGCGACACTCGGTATCAAATTTTTACAGAGAGCTTGCATATGACAAGGTGGCATGTCAGTGGAACCAAACATGTTCGTGTTTGAGACTCACCAGTAGCAGCAGAGGAATGTAGGGCTGGCGTCATTTCCTCATGGGACCCTGATCCTGCAGGATTGATTAGCACACAAACCCTCATTAGTGTGACATGCCGGCATAAGGAACACTATAAAACAGCTCGCATGCAAGTGTGCCCAGACGTACGTATTCCCCCTTCCCTGAATATGGCTGTCTACTTTTATCCTTGTAGGCCTATCTAGGCTTTATGTCTTCCAATTCTTACTCTTGGCAGGGGAGAATTTAGGTGGAGGCTCCACAAACACAGAATTTTCTCATAATTATCATGCGGAGTACCCAATTGACATAGCTGCCTCCAGAGAGCCCAAGCAGCTAGAGCGAGAGGGTTTCAGTGCTCGAAAGGCCCTAGCTAGGCTTTAGAAGAGGAGGGGAGGGAGAGGGAGAGGGAGTACAATAGTAAGCGCACTCTGAGAGCTACCCCTCCATTGGGCCTTCTTCTCTCTAGCCCAATCAGTATTAGTGGTGCCATTATAGTACGTACCTGCCCATGAGGGTGTGCACTCCTTTATTTATTACCAGGTCAATGGCAGGCATGTCTTGTGATCGTGCATGTCATGTGATCAGGCATCAGGTGTATATATCACATGACATGCACAAAGACATTGACCAACCTCTTGCAAGAGCTTTTAGGTCAAACACTGAATGTAGACTCAACTTACTAGCATCGGCAGAGTGGTTAGTGAAGGGCTGCTCCGTCCATACATACACACAATAATTCCACATCCACTCTTCATAACATGCATGTACAATGCAGTGTCCAACAGCATCCAACAGAGAAGGAACTAACATAAGGAAAACATGCAAGACCTCCAGGTTGATATTGAACACATTTATGGAGGAATAACATATATCACACACGTTCTTGTTTTGCTTTCTATTTGCAGGGAGTTGCAAACTGTGTGCAACTTCCTCCCAAGTGACACCACGAGGAGGTTGAAGGCCCATCATGGGACAGTCTCAATATACACAGAGATGACTGCCCCACAATGTCTTCACTCACAAGTGTGGATTCACACCGCACAAATTTTTCGCATATTATATAGAAAGTTATCCGTGCCAACGTTTACTGTATGAGTTTGTATGGTTCTGTCCAGGCAGTGTGAATCCACCATGAAGAGTGGATGTTATTAGGTACCCACTTACAGGTCAGTGACAGTTCTGCACATAAAAATGTGCACAAGGGCTTTAGTAAAATACACACTGACAGAGGGCATATTTTCACTGTCAACTTTGTTACCTGCTAGTTGGTATATACAATACACATTATCCCCATTGGACAGCCACTCTTCAAAACACACAATTAATGCAGTGTCGAGTTCCATACAGTTTCCCTCCTTGGGATCCTGTTAGATACTGTAAACAACCCGAATGTGGAGATCTCATAGTAACAACTGACTCAGGTGCAAACATACCTGAGTGTGGAGATCGATCCTAGCAACAACTCACTCAGGTTCACACATAACCCGAGTAGAGAAACTCCTAGCAACAGCTCGCTCGGGTGCAAACACACCCGAGCGTGGAGTAACTCTTAGCAACAACTCATTCCGGCTGGAACACTCAAAAGCACAATACACATTTTACACATCACATTAATTTTATGGGGAGCGAGCACAGGGGCATGAACTGTTACATAAGGGAACCATCTTTTATTCTAAACAACTCAGTCAGTCATGCTCACTGCATTCGCTAACCATTCATTTTTACATTGGAAAATCACATGGAAAAATGCACTCAATCAACCCGAGTGTGGAGATCTACAGCTCGCTCAGGTGCAAACCTACCTGAGCGTGGAGATCGATCCTAGCAACAACTCACTCAGGTTCACACATAACCCGAGTGTGGGGAAACTCCTAGAAACAGCTCGCTTGGATGCAAACATACCCGAGCGTGGAGAAACTCCTAGCAACAACTCATTCGGGCTGGAACACTCAAAAGCACAATACACATTTTACACATCACATTTATGGGGAGCGAGCACAGGGGCATGAACTGTTACATGAGGGAACCATCTTTTATTCTAAACAACTCTGTCAGGCATGCTCACTGCATTCGCTAACCATTATATTGGAAAATCACATTGAAAAATGCACTCAATCAACCCGAGCGTGGAGATCTCCTAGCAACAGTTCGCTCAGGTTCACACATAACCCGAATGTGGAGAAATAGCAACAGCTCACTCGGGCACACATATGTACCTAGTGTGGAGAAACTTTCAGCAAACAGACACCCACACTACTGTGTATGCTGATTCGCCACTGGTAACGGCTAGGTAGGTGTCTTCACACACCTTTTGCACTCCCAGTGGACCTCGGATTCTCCAAACACCTCGCTTGGAATGTTCATGCAGTGGCGGTGATACCAGATATGGCAGGAATCACACTTGGCCATCTCATCACCTTCCTCTTCCGGCATGCGACACGAACAGTGGAGCTCCACTGTCTTTGACTTTCTCTGGACACTCTCTCTCTGGCCCAACACAGGAAAACAAGAAATGTGCTGAATAATTGCAACTTACAGCTACTTTTATATACAGATGTACCAGGCAACAATATAGGGATTGTATCGTGGGCTCGGGGAGTGTCCCTATACCTCACAATGTACAGTATTGAAGCTATTCCTATGCCATCCCCATCTTGTCTCCTTTTCTTTTCATTCCATCCCTATATTTCTTCTTCTTTTAAAATTTGCAGGATTTTTTTAAATTTACTTGTGTACTTTTAATGCCATTAGGAGTAACCAACATGCCCCATTCTTGTGTTGTAATGGTCATTAAAAGACAATAATATTCATATTTACAACAGTAACAACAGTAAATTCGACACTGGGCCTGACAATGGCTAGTTCTCAAGTTCTCATTATTTCAGTCTCTTCGAAGGTGGCCCCAGAACCACCACTTGGGCCATAGCGAGCCGCTTCTTCCGGTCGAGCCGAGGCCACATGTATAGACTGTAGCTGTTAAGCATTCTGTATGCCTCAAGGACCTTGGCATCTCTGTGTATACCAGCTTTTGAGAGCTTGTCAGCATGGTCGTCTAGCTCCCTCAGGAACAGGCAGTGGTGTAGAACTAGCCAGAGAAATACGAGACCGGGCACAGTCAGTCTTTTCACCTCCATGTCGAGCCACTGGACTGACAGCGGGTATGAGGGAATTCTGGTCCCCGTGTCTTTTCTCGTGAATGAACGAGGACACAACAGCCTGCACGACCAGCTGGTCCATGTCTCTTTCGTCGAACTCCTTCTTGGCCTCACACACAGTTTTTACGCCCGATGAATGTTCTGACTCAGAATCGCTGTTGTCCTCGATAGTGCTCCTTCAGACGATTGAGACCGGAGCGAAGTCGGCTCTCCCGTTCGGATACCCCCGCCAGGTGCGAAGCGAGCCCATCCCCACGAACTGGGGTGAAATGGTCGGATCGTGGCAGTCCACGAGCGACGTCATCGAGTACGATCGTTTGTTCACCTCGAATACGGGGGTTAGCCTTCGTAAAATTGCGTCTCAGTACAGTCCTGTCCAACGGCATGCGAGTTTAGCAGGACTTCTGGGTCGATCGTGTACCAACCCTTACCCGCCAAGGTTTCAGCCTTAGACTTGTTTGATGCGTCCCGAGCAATGTTAGAAGGGCGAGAAGGAGACCGGGACGGTCGTGTTGCCACTCGGCGTCTCCAGAAAAATGCAAACCTCATAGAAGTGCTAATCGACTAATCGAAAATGGTAATTAGTACATTCAGCTTACAGCATTCAATAATATAATTCATGATATAATTGATGATGATGGAACAGATATTACAATTCCGTTGCTACTGTCTATGACTCGTTTTACTGCAACATAATTATGACAATAACATTATCACCTCAGTCACTCGCTAATTGTACTTCTACATAATATCACTGATGGTTGCATTCATCATCCATTTTATTGTTAGTTATCTGGAGGACATGACATTCTGATCAAACGTGACAATAACACACCTTCCTACTATTAACTACTAACATTTGCCACTATATAAAGTGGATCCTACTCGCTCCCCTCGCCCAAAGAATGCTAAGCATTTCCACTAGTATATTGAACCCTCGGCGCGCATGCTCCCATCTCAACGGTATAATATTATACATGTAGATCTAGTTGCCCTGTGCTCTGTCTGTATATACCGTTACCAAACTGAACATCTCACTTCACGAGCCATGAATCGCTCCACAAACAATACACGTATCAGCGTCGGGTATAGGTCGATAAATATGTAGAGTTTCTCAGAAACTGCTGCGTTCGAAAGTTATGGCGTGAAAACAAGCTAATTAGCCCTGGCTTACCTCGGCCAGCTCTGCGTATATACCCCAGACGTGGGGCGTGTGTCGACTTTCGCTTGTTATCTAGTAGTGCTAGCCCGTTAGCAACGCCACCTGGTAACAGACAAAGCCGTTCAAAATAGAAAAACTGCATCGATCGTTTTTCAACCGGCGCCCCCGCAAATGGAGAGAACGAGGCTAGCGTAGTGCGCCGAGGGTTTTTAGGAACACGGAGGCATCCTCACGAGCGAAATATAATCCTGAGTTGCTCGAATTACATTTCTGTTGCTGACTGCAGCCCCAAACGCGGAGCAGTGGTGGCAGACTTCAGAGTTTCTCTCAGCTCCATCCACCTGAGGTCTCTCTCTCGGTGGGGCTCGCGAGACGTTATAACGTATAACGTCGCCAGCATGCACGCAGCTAGCTAGCTCATAAAAGATCAGAACATCGGCTTAGCTCTGGGGGCGCGCGCCTTCGGTTATTAGCACAGCGGGCGCGTAGGGGTGATTCGTTCTGAGTTTGTAGTAGGTGATGGTCTACTCGCCGGGTGCGTTCCCCTAGCGTCTTTAGTTTTGTGCCGAACGATCGTCCCCAGTGGTGATTATACATGATGAGTGGCGTAAGTTTGGGTATTACGAAGTGGGAGGAGGAGAAGTTAGTTAGGCCACGAAGAGAGGTGTCCGTGTGCCAGCGGTTATGCGCTTATGTATTGATGTAGGTAAAGCACTGGAAAGAAGACGATGATCAAATATCTGGAAGCCTTTCTCCCGCGAAAGCGCCAAAGGTAGGTTTTCCGGCTTGAGAGCTACTCCTGTTGTAGGCATGCTTGGTTCCTAGAGTTACACACTGCTGAAAATAAACAACAGGTTGGTGGAGAGGCCAGTGTGAACCCCTTCGAGGTTGTTTTAAGTAGGGTGTAACTGTGTTTTTGAACCAGTATAAATGGGGTGTAACACATGTTTACTTGTGTGTGTAATCTTGTGCCAGATACATGGTTGAATGTATAGTACTTCCTACTGGGCACTGCCCTTGGGGTGCAGCCTTATATGGATGTGGTATAGTGTGATAGTACAGTTGTAGGAGTAATTTGCAGGTACATCAAATACGTCTGTCATGCTGATGTGGCAATCAGGCACAGTTCCTGCAGTGATACTCTTTATTAACTCCCTTCCTGTTATTTAAGAAATCTTAGATACATTGTGATACCTACATTTGATAACCTTCATAGAGCGCACAGCGTTTTCGTCAATATTTATTGCTGCTTCCTTGTCCATGTAAGGAACAATGCTGAGACAAGAAGTCTTTGATGACTGTAATAATGAAAACCACTAAAGTGCAAACCCTCGGCGAACTGCGCATGCATGATACCGCTAATTGATGGGCTGTGCTATGCGTTTATACCGCTAGTAGCTCGCGGAGAGTCTGACACCGGCTAGCTACAGTAGTGCATAGCATGTGGGAGTCGATACACGGCCATTCGTTGTGATATCTTGTGCCTCCAAGGTACACATGACTATAACTAGAATGCAGTGGTTTCAGAAGAATCACTATTTTAATATCCATGCCCTGGTTGCTCTGAAGCCATTGATATCGCTCATTGGCTGCCTAGTGCCAGAGTTGCAGTAACTGACTGATAAAAATCAAACAGACAGACCAAGTACTGTAACCCTCGCTGCACATGTGTGCTGAGGGTTAAGTTACTGCGTTTTCAGTAGCCTTTAATTGAAGACCCAGCTGTAGAAATTTGTTATGTAGACTTGTCCTGATTCAGGTAATCAGCTTTTTATTATTCATGCTCTTGTAGCTCTGAAGCCGTCGGTAATGCTCATGGGCTGCCCCGTAGCCTGTAGTGCCAGAAGCATCGGACAGAAAGACAGACCAATCACTGCACCTGGTTAATAAACATTTCATGCAGGCAGCATGTCTCCAATCTGGTGCATCCCAAAAAGATCTGCTTTTTTCCATCCAAGTTGTTTTAAAAATCCAGATACAAGGAAATTTGGCCACCCTAGTTTTGAGATACAGTTGCACTGTCGTGCATGAAATTCCTGGCACAAATGTAGCGTTTGGCTGTTGCTGCTTTCAAACCACTTGTTTACCTGGCAATGGTAGGCATCAGTGGGAAAAACATTAATGTGCAACCCTTGGCGAACTGCCCATGTGCAGTACCGCTATTAATTGATGGGCTTGGCTATTAGTATGCATTTACTCGTAGTCTCCCGCTAGTAGCTAGCGGAGACTCTGACACTACAGTAAGTGTTGTCGATTGACTACTTGTGGTATCCCACTATTAGCTTGTGGAGAGTTTGATGCTAGCTATCGGTAGCATGCGGGAGTCAATACACGTTATGTGACTTCTTGTGCCTTCTTGTCTTGTTGCGCATGGTAGCAGAAAACGTAACAGACAGACAGACAGACGGACACACAAATAAATGAACCAAGTACAGTACAGTAACCCTCGCTGCGCATGCGCGCCGAGGGTTAAAAGTTACTATTACTGTTAAAGGGTTATCGTAGTATACTCCTTAGACTGTATATGAACAGCATTCAGCAATCTCAATTTGGTGTTGGTAACATCGTGAAAACGAGAAGAATGCAATGCATATTTGGCAAGCGAAGCGAGCAATTCAATATTTCGCGTGTTTTTGCGCATATTTATATAGAATTACGCTGTGCGTGTGCAGATTTGTCTGCTCTGCACTAAACATGTTAGTTACTCCGTATACTCGGGAACTACGGGATTTCAATGAACCCTCGTGCCATCCGCGTAGTTGCCCTCGCTGCGCTCGGGACACTACAACGCGGAGGCTCTCGGGTTCATTGAAATCCCGTAGTTCCCTCGAACGGAGTAACTAAATATAGGTTATACTGCGCGTCAATGGAAATACGCAATTTAGACGGCCTCGGAGCCCTTAGTAGCGTCTTCGCTGCGCTCAGACAGCTACAGCTCAGGGCCCCTCGTGCCGTCTAAATTGCGTATTTCCATTGACGCGCAGTATAACCTATATTTAGTTACTCCGTTCGAGGGAACTACGGGATTTCAATGAACCCGAGAGCCTCCGCGTTGTAGTGTCCCGAGCGCAGCGAGGGCAACTACGCGGATGGCACGAGGGTTCATTGAAATCCCGTAGTTCCCGAGTATACGGAGTAACTACATGTTTAGTGCAGAGCAGACAAATCCGCCACACGCACAGCGCCCGTTTCCAGGCGACTGAAATTCGAATGAGCGTGAAGACGCGATTGGTAACCGACTCGAGCGGATGTTTCAGCCACTAGCGCGATCCAGAAGAAACGGTAGGCAGAAGCTATATACAGCACCCGCTCGTCGTCCGCCGCGCTTCGCGGAAAAGGGCTCCGCCCACTCTACGCGCACGTATCCGCGGGCGTGACGTACCGCTAGCGTTAGCGTATATACAGGCGCTTACGTACAGCTAGGCCCAGACTTCTTTGTCTCTGTGCATACTGTTGAAACTAAAAAAGAATTATTGTAGACGATGAAGCTACATGTTTCTGTAGATTATGTACGTGATCTTGTCATTTTCATGTAAATATTTACATAAAAACAAGGTTTACTACAGAGAGTCACAGTTACTACGGGTAATCAAGTACCGGAAAATCACGTGACCTCTGCTTTGTGACGACAATCAGATTGCTCGATTTAAACCAGCTATATCCAATAGATATAATTTAAAATCCTGTTAAATTAAAACAGAGGCATTAGGGATGGAAAGGGAGACAAGATAGGGATTTGATACATTAAGCATGGTTAATGAACAGATTTGAGCACGCTGACACCCCCCAACCCCATCACACAATCCCTATATTGTTGCCTGGTGTGCCTCTCCATTTGTACTCTTGGTCACTCAGTAGCATGAATTTTTCGTATTTTCAAGCTATACTATTGTGTAATGTTGAATGTTTAATGCTTCACCTAGGCAACAGTATAGCCCCCTATAAAAATTAATAATAGAGAAAAAATACCTGTTGTCATCATGGAAATGATGTGATATGCATGCGTACCAAGTTTCATCTCCATGTGTGCTTCCGTTAACAAGTGAAGAACTAAATGCCTGAGGCTATTTGTAGTTGTTCAAATAATATGTGGTTGTCATGGAAACGATGTTATACGCATTCTGACCAAGTTTCATCTCCATGTGTGGTACCGATAGCGAGGTGAGAAATACTTATATAGAAAAGTTCCTGAGGCTTTTTATTGTTGTGGTCGTCATGGAAATGATGTTACACACATGCGTACCAAGTTTCATCTCCATGTGTGATACCGTTAGCGAGTTTGAGGAGTGAGAAAAGTTCCTGAGGCTATTTGTTGTTGTGGTCGTCATGGAAAAGATGTAATACACATGCGCTCCAAGTTTCACCTCCATGCGCCTGCAGTTAGCAAGTGTGAGGAGTGAAGAAGTAGTTTTTAAAGATAATTGCCTGAGGTTTTTTCAAACAATATGCAGTCGTCATGTAAACATGTAATTGTCATGGAAATGATATAATAGGCTTACATACCAAGTTTCATCTCTGTGCGTGCTACCATTGGAAAGTTTGGGAAATGTAAAGAAAAGTGCATGAAGCTGTTTGTTGTTATTTACAAACATGTATCGTTGTGATTTTGATGTTGGCTATTGAATACATTACGTCTACAAAGTTTTGTTTACGTAGCTTTTACCACTTTTCGGGTTGCAGATATCTACATTCTTACAAAATTTCATTTGTATTATGTGTGTAAACTATATGCACTCATTTATAATTCATGTAGCTGACTAGCACGTGCGCTCTAGGGGCCACATAAAAACCGGTTGTACGAGTTGTGTGGTCAGTCAGGTCATTTTCTGAGAAATAGAAAGTGGTTGTGAGGGACCTGGCTGCGAGGAATCGCGAATATTCTCAGTGAACAGGCGGCTCTTAGCGTTACATGTTATTGCATTTTTAAGTTACGCAAGTTGAATCTGAAGAAGGAGAAGGAGAAGGAGAAGATGAACACAACTCCCTATCATAGCCCCATACATCTATGATGCTAGGTACCATGCCCATCCCTATATACTAAGTACTACCATACTTAGTGTTATGAGAAATCCCACATTCAGACAACTAGGTGGGCTCGCTTCTCTCGTCAATAAATAGCCTGATCCTAACCTCAAAATCATAAACTTGTCCAAACATAATTATCGTGACATGTTGTACCCCAAGCAAAAACGTGACCTGCTAAAAGTTAAGGCTTAAGCTAAATTATCCAGTCAGCTATCTAAGGTCATGCAAGCAGCATTTTTGCTGACATCAGGCCGGATGTCCATTCTCTTATTGACATTTCTGTTGCTGATAAGGCGGTAGTACCTAATGTTTATTCAGGGTACATAAGCAGAGCAACACTTCCGGGATTCAATGTTCACCTGATTTTAGGGTGGGGTTAGGCTATGCCCGGATAGGGTATAACGTACATGTCCAATGCATTGTATCTTCATAGATTGACAGTGAAGGAGAGAAGGAGGAGAAATTAAGCAGAATAGTTGGATTATTTAGTCCTGGAAAAGAACCACCTATCATCAAACCAAAACCAAAACCAAAGACCAAGCCTAAGCCAGTTTCTTTCTCCCAGTCTGATCAAACTGATGCTCCCAATGAGCAGTCACCTGGTGCTATGGTAAGTTATACCAGAATAACAGAATCAATTACACAAGTGTAGAATCGTCAGTGCCAAGGAACCTGGGTACAGTAGGAGTTTAGTGCCTTTGGTTGTGTAATTAACCCAGTCTGCTCCTGTATGTATACATATTATGTGATGGTTTCGGTGGTCTACCACTGAGTTTGGGGTTTGCATTGCCTTTTGTTGTATTGTCCCATCACGCTGAGCTGCCCTTCTATAGAGCACTACAAGTAAATGAAAATCCTGTGAATTAAAAAAGAGGCACATAAAAAGAAAGGGAGACAAGATAGGATAAAGCATGGTAAAATGAAAAGCACTGAAGTGCAAACCCTTGGCGCACTGTGAAGCGCACGCGTAAGTAAACGCATGCGCCGTAACACTAATTGATGGGCTGAGTTTATTTTAGCTGTTACTCGTGGTCTCTTGCTAGCTCGCGCAGAGTCTGACGCGGGCTAACTACACTACTAGATAGCATGCGAGAGGCGGTACACGCCCTGCGTTGCATCTTCTGGTGCCTCCGAAGTATATACGCAGAGCACGACCGCTGTAGGCCATCCCGTACGTTGCGTATTTGCATATAAGCTTTTAGCTTTGCAACGGAGCATTTTCAGAGAAAACCGCCTTTATTTTCTGACCTTCGTCGCCCGTTGGGTAGATGGTATCGTTTCTGGGACGAACAGACGTTCGAGGAGTGAGATGTAGACTAACAGACAGACACACAAACAGACAGACAGACAGACCCAACTACTGTACCCTCGCTGCGCATGCGCGCCGAGGGTAACAATGCGTGCAAACCTGGGTATAGGCGCATTATTTCGTGGTGGTTTACTTACTACGCGTTATTACGCACGCAGTAAAGCGTAAACAAGCGCGGTCGCACCCGCAAGTATTTACGCTTTAGAGTACTATTCCACACAAACGTGGGTGTGTCATTGCGCGGCTATGTGCGTGGAAGTGTTTGCCTCGCAAATATACCGTGAGCGTATAGAATACGCCGGCGATTGTGGGTGGAGCACGCCGTCGCACGTTTACGTGGGGACGCTCAGTCCGCATAAATTGGCGTGACTTCCCACTTGAGTGTGTAAAAGCGCTGACACCTCCGACCCCATCACTCAATCCCTATATTGTTGCCTGGTGTGCCACAGAAACTCCATTGGTTACTCGGCATGACTTTTTTTGGTATCAAGCTATAAGTCCTGACTATTGTAATGTTGAATGTTTTAATACTTCACCTAGGCAAGCATGGAGATGAAACTTGGTACGCGTGTGTATAACTTCGTTTCCATGACGACCACACATTGTCGTGATGGAAACATGTAGTTGTCATGGACATTATGTAATACGCATGCGTACCAAGTTTCATCTGTAGGCATGGTACCGTTTGCAAGTTATAAGTAACTTTAAAGAAAATTTCCTGAGGCTATATATTTGTTATTGTTTACAAACATGTATTGTTGTTTTTTTGATTGAATAAATTATGTATACAAAGTCTTGGTTGCATGGCTAATACCTTTTGACTGGCACATGTGTGCCTATTTAATTGCCTGGGGCTATTTGTTGTTGTTTACAAACAAATAAGACCAGTCTCTTTGGATGGCGGATATCTACATCGTTACAAAATTTCATTACTATATGTTGTTTTGTTTTTGAGTTATGGATGTTGAATCTGAAGAAGAATATGAACAAAACTCCCTATCATAGCACCATTCATTTATGTTGCTAGGTACCATGCCCATCCGTATATACGGTACTTTGTCATCTAGAATACAGTGTCATGGGTTCGAGTCCCACCTAGGGCAACTCTTTTTTTCATCAAAAAGGTGTGATCAGCTGGATGTTTTTTATATGCACCAGGCTTGTGCTTTATGAAAAGAAAGGTGATGCTCGAGAAATAGAGGCTGAGCTGTTTCTGGCTTGTTAGTCCTCATCACACTACACTGCTCTACAAGCTTCAGAGTTCATAAAGGGCTACCAGTAGCACAGCGCTCATGGTTCTGAATGAATGAGGTCCATCCCCACAAGCTTTCCCATGTATGCTAACCTGTCACCCCAGACTGTTGTGGTTAGGAGCCCGGGTTCTTCCACCGCTCCTGTAGGTAAAGGCCAATACGAGCCAAAACCCATGTCCTGCTAGCCATCAACAAGACAAGCGAGTAATGCTAAGAGAAATGAGCTCTGGACATATGAATATAAATCTTCATTGCAGGTATGTTATGTATACATTGAAGTGTCGCTAATTTAGGCATGGGTACGGGCAGATCGTGAAAGCACAACTTCCCTTGCTATAATATACCGTTTTGTGCTTGGTGACTTTACCAACTCAAGAAATCAACTTAAGTATTTTACAACCTTTATCTGCTTTCAATGCATGAGGTAAAAAGAGGGAGGTGGGCACCGGGAAGAGAGAGCCTTCTCAAACACCTGGCTGACTATTGCCGTGATCGTCCACAACTGGTTCTCTGAGAAGCCCGCGCATTTCCCGCTTTCTGTCCCTTTGTTGCTCTCTGAGTCCATTCTACCTGTACCAGCACCACGTGTAAGAATAGCTGTCCCTTAAAGTTGCTGCTCACTCAGTAGGCACTGGTTGCCAGTAACTATGTGACCACTTCGCTTGCCCGTACCACGTACTTATGGCATACTTTTCTTACGTACAGTTAACTGATAAGGTTTCACATTAGGATACTATCAGAACCGAAAGTTGCAATTCCAATGGTGTTAGTATAGGTCCGTTTCCACACTCTCCATTATATGCACGGACCAAATTTTAGTATGCGACCTTTGGATCCATTAATAATAATGGTGGGAGAGCCATTTAGCCCTATACACAGTAAATAATAATTGCCTAGCGCGTTAACACGAGGCAACTACTCCGGGTTGTATTCTCGCGATATGCGTACGTACGTACGTGTCGGTCACGCTTAAGAATGTCAATTAGTCACGCTTTAGGAATGTCAACTTCCGTCATTCGTAGGAAGTCTAGCTTCCGCCCTGCGCGCAGATTCGTAGGAAGTCTGGCTTCACGCGCAGTCAGTAGAGCGCGCGCACGAGCGGCCTCAGTCGGATTGTTTTACGCATTGGCTGGCAGGCGCGTGCGCATTCCTAGTAATAATAATAATACTCAGGTGGCTGCCATAGCACTAGGGCCATAGACCACGCACCCATGAGAGCAAAGGGCGGAACCGTTAACAAACGAACATACACCATGTGAACGTGAGGTGTCTGTCTCACCTCCCAGACACCTCAGCTCACCCCTTCCACCAGCGACACCCTACAGCTCCCCAGATGCAATCTGAAACTGGCTTTATACACAGTAAATAAAGGGAGAACATTGTTCAAAACTAATTACGTCAAAGGTGAGAGGACTGAAATTAAACGAGGGTCGTTGTCATCCTGTAATAGTTTTGAGCTCATGTTTTTATGTCACGTTCAACTACAGGGCAGAAACCAGGCTATAGGAAGTGCAGCAGTGCAGGTTACTTCTGTGCGGGTTCTCCAGTATATTGCAGGCGGCTATGGGCCTTATCAGGTGGCCTGAATGGACTCTGCAAAGGATAAGATTGCTACTTTCTGTCCCAGCGTTCCACTGTGTTCAATGAAGATAGCCTCCTAGACCATTGCTTTTGCTGTTGCGAAGTGGATTGCAAGGACCCTTAGTGATCTGAATGACACTGTCACACTTGACCATGCACATGCATTCTGAGTGAGAGGGTATACTGTGCCATACCATAGTTGTTTAAGGTTTGTGTTTGCATTGATATAGATTTTGAACCCCTACCTGCTAAGTTGCCGTTGTAACTCAGCCGTTTTTCACGGTAACTGCAGCAAGTCTGACATCGTGGTATATAGGTATTAGCTATCCTCTGTACAACTAGATTCTGGAGCAGAAATTATAGCGGAGTAGGGCAGGACGATCTCGATGACTAAAGAGGATGTTGAATACGAGTGCTTTAATAAGCGCCAGAGTTTCCCAATGGAATAGAGCCATTTGAGGAGAATAGGGATCTCAACAGAGTCAAAGCTTTTTCAATGTCATAATATACACACAGTAAAGGTTTGCCTCCATCATGTACATGTGTCAGCATTGCTTCTTGAGTTACAAAAATAGCATTTGCACATGAGAGACCCTTTTGATAGGCTGTCTAGGCAAAGTCGGGTACATCTGCCTCTTCAAGAAGCGGTAATAGACGACAAAGTGAAATAATTTGGAGATGACGGATGATAATGTGATGCCTCTATAACTTCCTGGTTGAAAAGGGTCTTTGCCTTTATTTTGTGGACAGGCCTTCATTTAAGGATGTTAGGACCTGCTCTATGGAGATGAAATTTTTCTTAAACTACAGTCCGTAGTATATAGATGTGTTCAGGATCGAGGGAGTCTATTCCACCAGACTTGCCAAGTTTTAGAGTTTTGAAGGCACCCTCAATTTCTTCAAGTGTAACTTCGGTGTCTAAAATGCACTCGCAGTTTAGAAAAGACGAGATTTCAAGGTCTGGGATGATTGACTCAGCTTCTGTGAGTGGGGGAGATTGAGACGACGTAGCCAGTTCCTTGAAGTAAATGCTGAAATTATTTGCGATTTCTTGTTGGTCAGTGCAGATGTTATTGCTGATTCTGAGACCTTTGCATTCAGTTGTGGGGTTTGAGGATCTGGTACGAGAATGGTTGTTTTGTCTGAAAAGTGTATCCCGAGCTTGAATTTTTTGCTCGTTCTTCCCTGGCACAGCACATGGCCACATACCCGACGCACCTTTTTTGCATCCCGTTTTCCTCATACAGGTTGCTCTCACGAGGACGGCCGGCTGACTCCCAATGTTCCCAAGCTTTCCTACTTGTTTTGCATAGAGAACTGAGCTCTGAGTCCTTAATGTAGGTTAATTGCGATGATGAATTGAGGGGAGGTTCTTAGAGGCGGCTAATGTGAGGGTTTTGCTGACCGAGATTATTTCATTGTTTAGTTCAGTAACAGACTGAAAACCACATGAGAGTAGAGGGATTATCGCATCAGATAACATTCTGAGCATAATCAGGAAAGAGACCATCTTCGAGTGATTTCCTCCAGTTGACCTTAGAGTTAAGTGTTGCTTGCGACTCATATATTCACCTTTCAACAACACCGAGATGGGAAGATGGTCGGAGAGGTTTAGATCGTGGTGGTCATGAGTGTAGAATTCAGCTATTGAGTGACTGATAGATGTGCTGAGAAAGTATATAATCCACAGTATGGTGTTAGACGAACTAATTTGCTGTACATCAAAGGCCCAGTAAGCCCTAACTGGCCTTCTGTGCTTCAAAAGTGCTGGGTTGAGTGCATAACAAATCAGGTGGATACTTTATGTGCTGACCAACACAATATATACAGCATCACAACAAGTCATGGGGCTATTGTAGCTCTATAGGCTGTGTTAACAGCCACTGATTTTGCTTGAAGAATGTCTCTAGCTTCTCTACATGGCACTTGGGTTTCAGAGTACAGAGTATACTTATATACCTCCTTGAGGAATAGGTGAATACCTTTTCGAAATACCCCTTCTATGGCTCCTCAAGGAATGAATAGCTACCACAGTCCTTAGATTGCTTGAGGAACATGCCCTACAGTTTGACCGCCCTGCTTTGCTTCACAGCAAATTCACAGCAAACTCAACTGCAATATTCCCCAACACAGGAGTCCCCATGGAGTCCACATGGTACAAGAAACATGAAACCCACATACGGTCGATGCAGAGGCCAAAAAACAGCATATTCAGAGTACCACAAATATCAGACCTCAAAAGTTTGTATTCGCGATTCACAAATTGCAATCTGATATGTTCTTCCCTTCCCCAGTTCTGTGACAATGCATTCACCGAACTGGGCCACATGATGATCGCCCCAGTGAGCAGAACGCCACTGGGTATAATTGCATTATCTTAATTTTGATCCTGATGTTCTCACACATGCCAGTTTACTGTCTAGTTGTGAATGTGTGAAACAGTAAAAGAAGAGGACTGAAAGTTGCTTAGCAAGTTGCCTTCATAAGATAGGCAAGAACTTAGAATACATGTGTACTTCCATTGCCTCTGTGCTACATACATATGTAGGTATGTCCATGAGCCTTGATTACCATCTCAAAGTAAAGCATCCTGCTTGTGTCAACTGGCATCCAGCACCAGCGTTTGGGAGCAGCTGTGTTCCTCAGAACTTGCAGGTGTTCTGACATTCATTTATGGTGGCTGTGTTGATGGAACTGCCCATTTGTCAGACCTATTCTGTATTGATTTCCCAACACTTGCGGCGTGCAGCTTTGTGCACAACTTTTAACTGTGTTGTGTAACCCAAAAAGACTGTTCAAAAACAGTTTAATATGCCAAATACTCAGCTTGATTCTAGATGAATGAAGCACTACACAGTGTGAAATGTTGTTTACCAGTAGAATGAAAAGCACTGAGGTGAAAAACCCTCGGCAAACTAAAACGCATGCACGTGAAGATGCATTGCACCTTACACTTGCGCGGGTCGGTAATTGATTGGCTGGGCTGCGCAGGCGTGGTTTCTCGCTAGAGCTCGCTGAGAGTCTGTATAGGTATATGCCTAACCTATTGGCATAGCTTCTTGGCTGTCTCGTGGCGCCTAGTGGCAGAATACTTGGTAACAGACACACACACACACACACACACACACACACACAGACACACACACCAAGTACCGTAACCCTCGCTGCGCATGCACGCCGAGGGTTAATAAGACACAAACTGGTTAACTTCGTATGTATATATTAGTTATATATCTAACATGTGTATCAATGTTTAGTCTCTGGCACCTGTTAAAGGGATTCAGACTTACATGTACATGTGTGCTGGGAAAGTGTTCTTTGTTGAGTCTGCTAATTGTGTGGACAATAGGGACTAGGTTTGTATGCATGGTGTTGGCACTCTCATTTTCTTTGGCACAAAGCAACCTATGGGAACAAAACTGTCCTTTGATGAACGCATTATGTTCTGTAGCTATAGCCATGTAGCACAGTTATATTCATACCATTTTGTGTGTAGTTCTCTGAATGCCTTTCTATTTATCGGTTCTATAGGAGGTAGGGCCCATCAGACTCAGTGAAGATAGTCTTGCACAGTTTGGCAAAGTTGTGGACCTTGATGCAGTGGTAAGTCTGTAATTATAGAGTATGTAACTATATACAATATTAATGTACATAAGTGTCTTCAGGTTCTCCTTACCCGTGGAAGTACATGTAGCTGTGGTCAATAAGCTTGGTTAGGTGCATGTCTCTCAAATGGGTGCATATCTTGTGAATCATAGCACACCTCTATTCCTGCACATGGTCTGAAACAGTGTGTGCAGGAGGACTTGTGAAGATTACGAGCAGAAGAGTGTTGCTTGTTATTGTACTGAATTTGTTATGACTCGGGTGCAAGATCTTCGTTTGTAAACGTTTGTAGGCACATAAGTGGGGATGAGGTGCAGTGAGGTGGCAAATAAAGAGTATGTCTTGAACTCTGGTATGTGTGCGGGTCATGAGGTGGTTCTAGTCAGCCACACAATGTGGAGTAGATGACTAATTTTTCAGATGTTTCAGGCAGTGTTTTAAAGCTCATTAGCATATAATTACCATGTCTACACCAAAGGAAGGTGCAGACCGTCCAAAAACGCCAACCAATGCAGAATAGTCAGGAGTTGAATTGAGGCACAGTGTACAGGGAAGCATGCACACTATAGCACTAAGCCAAGCGCCCAAAGCTGGTCTCCCCATTTCTCACAAGGTAGTTAACCCTCGGCGCGCATGCGCAGCGAGGGTTACTGTAGTTGGGTTTGTCTGTGTGTCTGTTACTCTCAATCTCACTTCTCGGGTGTTCGTTCGTCTCACAAAGGATACAACCTACTTAACGGGCAATGAAGGTCAGAAATTTCGAACGGTTTTCTCTGAAAATGCTACGTTGCAAAGCTAGAGCGCTTCCAGCATTGTATGGCAAATGCCGGTAGTCGCCATTTTATCGCTGGCTGTTAATGCGCATGCGCTTATATTTTATCGCTGGCTGTTAATGCACATGCGCTTATATTTAGCACAGGCTTACCTCGACCGGGTCCGCTTGCTCTGTCCATCTTGAAGGCACAAGAAGTCACAATGAATGGCGTGTATCGACTCCCGCGTGCTATCTACTACTGTAGCTAGCCCGTGTCAGACTCTCTGCGAGCTACTTTGCCGAGGGTTTGCACTTTAGTGCTTTTCATTGCCTCTGGCATCCCCCCCACTGGCATAATCGTGAGAAACCCGTTGCTCGCGGTCTTCCGGTGCCAATAGACATCAACAGCGAGTCAACAGGCACCATGCCATTTCTTTTCTCCAAGGAAAAAAGAAGAGCTGCCCTGGGTAGCATTCAAACCCACGGCACTCGGCATTCTAGGCGAGCGCTCTAACAACTGAGCTACCAGGGTAACTCAGCTGGTAGGGGTTCCAATATATGTACCACACAACACAACATAAAGAGAAACCTGCTAGTATTCTTCGTACTAATCACATTAACGTTAGTGAGCACAGCTTAGACTTCAGATTTCATACATAGTAACCAGTTGCAGGATGTGGTTGAGAAAGGAATTTAGTGAACCCATGTATATGCTGGGGAAGCTGCTACATGCAGTAGTTATGTCTTGGTTCATACGAAGTATATAGTTTGGCTGTGACTTGCTGCGTGTGTACAATTGATACTTCAGGTACGTTACCAGCTGCTAGATAATACTCCCCAAAAAGACAGGGCTGCACTCAGCCAAAGCAAAGGATTGAAAGATCGTCGACTACCCAGCCACGTAGCCACTCTTGTGGGGGATGAAAGACCGCCTCAAAGGTAATGATTTGTGTGCACTAAATTCTAATGTTATAATGCATGATTGAGTCATTCCAGCGAGTTTATGTACATACTTGTTTGGAGTTGGGAATCACTGGCAGTTTAGTGAGAGTGTACTGTGCCATAGCACAGGTGTTTGGGTTTCCCTTTGTCTTGCGCATGAAGTCCTAGCTGCTGAATTGCTTAGCTAGTAGAGCGCTCATCTTTAGTGCAGTGTCGTGGGCTGGAATCCTACTTTTGAGTTATCCTTCTGTTGTTTGCCTTTGCTGTGCTTTGATATCTTTGATGATGCATGTACCTAGACATATATTTTGCCAGGGAAGGGAGACAAGATAAGGATAGGATAAGGGAAGCATTGTTTACGAGAAGATTGTGAGCGTGCTGACACCCCCGACCCCATAACAGCTCTATACGTCCTACCATAAGAATGAAAAATAAAGAGTGAAGTAACTTCAAAGCTGAAAAGGACTAAAGTGCAAACCCTCAGCACACTACACAGGCGCGGTACTGCTAATTGATGGGCTGGGCTATCAGTATGCATTTACCCATGGTCTCCCACTAGTTGTCATGGAGACTCTGTCATCGAGAGTCTGACACTGGATAGCTACACTAGATGGAGTATATACACGCCCTTAGTTGCCTCCGAGGTACACGGAGGAAGTTGATTAGTTCGAGGAGAGCCAGTGTGATTGTACATATTGGCTTTCTCACTTGTTTCGTGCCATATCTCTCGAACACAGTTGTTTCAAGAAAAACGCTGTTTTATTTTTCAGGCTCGTAGTTCTGAAGCCGTTGGTATCACTTGTGGCGAACCCTTGAGCTTTACCACGTGATAGAACATTCTAGAATATTCCAGACGTACTGACTAGCTAGGACATATATAGCGTGTGCAATTCATATAGAAGCGGTCTATGACTGTATGGCATTAACTTTGATCTGAGTCTCTACATTGGTGATGAGTCGTTCTGGGAAGTGCACTTGTCTGCCGGAGCGAGTGACCCGGGTAGGTTCTGCTGGTGTTTATGGGGTGGTTGAGGATAATATGGAAAAGTAACCCGGACTAGTGAAAACCACCTACACACCGCCATCTGACATTGACAATTATAGCTGTGTGATGTGGACGAGTATAAGGAACATTACGTGGGGGCATGTGCGTAGTAAAATTGCTCATTCTAGTGTTTTGCGTATTTGGAGTAGCCTATAAAAACGTCTCATCTTGCAAATGGAATGGGCTATACGCTTTAAACTTTCTACGATCGTGCAAAAAGCCCCTGCGTCCTTTGATTTATGAGGAAATCTCAAAAGATTTTTTATGCCGCAAGCGGTCACATAATATGTATGTATTACATCATTCCCTTGTCCCTTGGATTGCATTTTTGTTAACAAATAGCCTCAGGCACTTTTCTACTAATTTACTCCTGAAATTTGCCTTCATTGTATGACATATTATCCCTATATTTTGTCCCTTTCTTTTAGTACCATACCCATATTTAAAAATTCGCAGGATTTTACATGAAATTAACCTCCTGTTAATATGAATAGGCAACTACCAAGGGATATAGCAAGACCAAAGCATCAGCCCAAAGTTGTTGAAGAACCAGATGCTGGAGATCAGCATCAACTAACTGATGAAGAAAAGAGACAAAAAGTGAGTATAAGCAAGCAATATTATGGAAGGGATTTCAGTATGGGGATGCAACTCCACTTCGAAAGTTCCACTAAGCCTACTATTTGTATAGGACGAAAATCAGCTGGTTTTAAGTTGGTATAAGCTAAAGCTCTTTTAGTCCAGATGGTTTCACAGACGAATCTTGGATCCTACATAACTAGAGCTCTTGAGACTATATGCACATACCCCATGCGCAAACTCAGGGAGGGAGAATTGAAAACCTTGATGCTTATGTGGTAACAGTACCTGTGGCACATGTGTACCTAATTCAAATTTATAACAACAAAGATTAACATTCACAACACTGTGTTCACTGTTTGTTTCTTTTACCCTACCCTAGCTAATGGCAAAGGTTGGTATCTCACAAGGAAATCCTCTTGCTGCTTTGGGAAATATTCTACGCAAAGGACCGGGTAGGGGTTCTGGAAGAGATTCAAAATCACCAAGGAGAGAGGTCACTGTTACCAAGAAACCCTCATTCAAAGGGTCAAAAGAGTCTCTTCGTGAAAGCTGTAAAGATTCTACAGAGCCATCAGGGCGTCCAAGTGAGCAAAAGAGCCCAAAAATGTTTCGTTTCGGTATAAAACGATCAGGCTCACGTAGTAAAAAAGGAGAAAAGGATGATTCAGCATCAGACACTTCGAGTGTAAACAGTCTTAATGTTGTCGCCGTTAAGGAGGAACCAATGGAAGCAGAGTCAAGTGGTCTCACAGTGAGTAGATCGGCTGGTGTAAATGAAAGAAAGGAGAACATGGGTGAGGTCATTGACAAAACAAAATCTGCACCAGAAGCATCATCAAAATCAAGCAACCGCAACAGCACCTATTTCAAACCTCCAGAAGTTGAACCCCTGACTGACCTGTTTGATAGTGGAGAACTGGATGCACTCTTGAAACCAAATGAAGGTGCAGAGAAAGGCGCAGCGGTTGATTCTACAAGGGAAAATTTAGAAAGTGCAGGTGAGGAGGAACAAGCCAGCAACAGTGGGAGCGGGCTTAAACGAAATAATTTACGATCCAGTTTTCGTATGTATGAGAACCGGTACAAAGCAGAAACACTTGAAAAAAAGAAAGAAAAATCTCCACTGTCAATGACAGCATCTGTTGCTGTACGTTCTATAGAATCTACAAAAAAACAAAGCTCCAACGAAGAGCATGTTGCAGAGAGTATACCAAGTGACACTGGTACTCCGTATACCAAACATGATGGGGATTCCATAGTCACAAGTGTTTCACCTAAACCAGAAGTTGAGAGCTGCAAAAGCGAGAAGGAGAAAGATAACGAAAGGAGGAGGAGAAAGTTGTTTGATGATGAGTTGTTTCCCTCTGATATCCCTGGCAGATTGCACACAAAGGTTAAATCTGCATCTGCTGCAACCCCCAGCTTAGATGCCTATGCTAAAGCCCACAGATCACCTTCTCCTGTTGCAGTAGTATCTGACAATAAAGACCAGGGCAAAGATGAGATTGGTGACAACAGTGAATCAAATTCAGCCTCACCTTCTCTGAAAACCACAGATCAAGCTGAAAGCGAGGAAGAGGGACCAAGGAATATTCCCACTGGTGAAGTATCTGAAAGTGGCAAAGAGGCAGAGACAATGCCCCAGGACCAGCAGCAAGTTGCTGTGAATGTCCCTTCATCATCAAATAGCTGTGAGACGCATGTTGATCATGAAGCTGACAAGGATGTCTGTGTCCCCATAAACACAAGTGAAGAACAGAAAACCCCTGTGCCTGTTTCACCAACCCAAACCCCTTCTGAAGTTAAGTCTCAATCAGTGCTTGCCAAGACAGAACTAGAGAAAGACAGCGAAGAAAGAAAATCCACAATGGGTCCAAGCACATCAGACGATTTCCACCGTGAAGAAAGAAAATCTAAAACAGATCCAAGCACATTCAGTGGAGTGTCAAAAGAAGCGGAGAAGCAACCCACTCTGGAAATGGAGTCAGGTGGAACACAAGAAACTGAAGGGCCTGGGAATGAACATCTGGAGAGCACACGTTCTGAAAAGGAGAATCCAAGTATTAGCACTGAGCGTAAGCGGAGGGAAGAAAAGCAGCAATCCCATCGTTCGGCGCGTTCAAATGATTCTCGTTCAAGAATACAATCTGGAAAAGTCAGCAGTGGCAGAAGTAGGTTTGATTCTAGTAGCCCAAGTTCGTCACCAAGATTGCAAAGGGCTAGGGCTTCTACTGAGTCTCCCCGTTTAGCATCAGGAAAAAAGATTAAACGTTCAGAAGACCAGGATAGTAAGTCACCCTTGTGGATGTCAGATATGCAAAAGAAGAAAGAGGGGAGGACTAAGACAAAGGAACAAATGACCCCGGTGAAACCTTCTGCAGATGGTGAAGACATGCCAGACTGGCGGAGGAGAGTTTTAGAGCGTAGGAGAAAAGCTGCAGAAGCCAACACTAAGTCTCCGAGTACAGATGGAAGAGTAGATCGTATATCGAGGTCTGGTAGGTGTCGCGAAGCAGGGGGAGCCTTTACCAGTACTAAAAAGTCTCCTCAAAAAGACAAATCACCTTCTCCTAGCAGCTCCAAAAAGTCATCAACTAAAGCTGTTAAGTCTAAAGGTAAAGGCACTTCGGACGAGGGTAAGGTCAAAACTGAGGACACTGAGACAAAAGATGCCAATAAAGACAAGCAGGAGAATTGCAAAAAGGAAGTTGCAGACGATCCTGATTTTGGTCATGAAATTATATCAGACATGCATGAGAAGCAGGAATCTACTTCCAAGCCTGTTCAAACGGTTACCTCACCAAAGCCAGAAATAACTTCACCAAAACCGAAAATCAATATTTTTACCAAGAAAGTAGCAAAACACTCCAGCTCCAGTGAGCAAGTGCAACAGAGTGTGTTCTCTATTGATGTAAAGCCATCGCTAACTCCAGCAGCTGATGATGTCCCTGAAAAGGATGCAATTGATGATGAAGTTTTTGAAGATACAAAACGAGAAATACCGACCGACGTGTCATCTTCCAATCTTAAAGAAAAGAGTTCTGTAGAATCTTCGGAAACAGCAGGTTCACGGCACAGTAGCAACTCATCCGAGAAAGAAGTGGGTGTGCCGTTTAGGTCAAGAGGTATCTCACATTCACGCTCACCTACACCAACCTCATTGGCAACCGGGCCTTTGAAGCTACCTGCTGATCCTGGAGTTCCCGAATGGAAAAAGAAAATGCTGGAACGCAAGAAAGATTCGTCGAACTTGAAAAAGCCACTAGTTCCAAAATCTGAATCTGAGGTTCCTGCTTGGAAGAAAGAGCTGTTGGCAAAGAGATCGAAGATTGGGGAAGAGGTGAATTATATTGTGAAATAATTCCAGAAAGTACTTGTTACTCCTTATTCTCTGTTCTTTGAGTTTCAAACTGTGGTGGTCTTATAAAATGTATTGCATAAACTATAGTCTTAATTTTTCATCCTGTAGTCCAAAGTCACTTCCCGGATGCGCAGCAGTACAGTTCCTACACGTCCTGTGTCCGCTACGAGATCAGGTCGAAGGAAGGAGCAACCTGTGCCAGAATTCATGAAGGAATTTCAGAGTAAAAAGAAATCTACTACATAAGGTACATAAGGAGTGCACTTTAGCGAGTGGGAGTGAACCAAATATGCCATCTTGTCACTAAACTTTTCATGAGGCTCTTGTGACACGAGTTGTATGAGTGTGTGAAGCAGTAAAACCTGCCAATGTTGTCAATTCCTTCTTAGTAACCTATAGTGACCCCCCATTCACAAACCTGGTAATAAACAGCATCATGATTTCAAATACTAGTAGAATGTTAAACATTGTTGGCAAGCGGGAGCGACCCAACTGGGATAGAAGAAACTGTGTTGTCAGCCTGGTGTAGAAAGCGGTCCAAAGAATAGACCGAAGGTTGCACATGTTGGGAAAGGTGAATGTGTTCTGTCCTGGCATATGTAGTGCCGGCCAATAGCAACATGCTGAGTTGTTGAGCATCTGGACGATGAGTTTGACATTGACCTTTCTCGGCATGTGCAACCTTGTACTTAACATAAAGTCTATTCTTCGGACCGCTTTCTAAACCGGGCTGACAACACAGGCGCTGTCCCAGTTGGGTCTCGGGTGTTTCAGCTGCTACTAGTCGCTAGCTGCTGCGCTAACGCGATCCTCTTTTGTTTCAGCTGCTAGTAGCTGCTGTTGACAAACACAAAGGTGATGTAGACGCCTTTTTCTTCCCAGCAATGTCTCCGTTGCTGTTCTTCAGTTCTCAGTTGCTGAAGGCATGCCTCTGTAGCATTTGCACGCCGTTGCCTGGTTTCGCGCTAGTCGCTGCTCGCGAACTAGATACCTCTGCGTGACGATTCCTATCTCTCTCTCGGTTAGCGGCAGCGTGAGTATTTCCCTTTATGTGGCGGTGTGGTATAGAACTTTGTTTGCTCTGCGGTAGCCTCTCAGCATCCATGTCAAACTGAAAACATGCAACACGATGATTGCAATACACACATGGAAACTTTTGCGAAATTTTGATCGTGTGATGCGTATTTAGAACTACGGTAGTGACAGCGCTCGACCGCTAGTTATTAACGAACATATATATATATATTATAGAGAGAGAGAGAAATTGGCCCGTTGGCAAGCTAGGTTGGCTCGCTCACGCTCACCAGTTACTGCTGTGTCACTTACGTACCGGGTTGCCGCGGCTGTTGGAATTCACAGTTTTCCAGACAGGTCATGTTGGCTTTCAAGAATATTATTTTGCCGAGTGAGCCTTACAATAAAACACACAGCCTTCTAGAAGGTTCTAGAACAGCTAGTGATGAATGATTACATAACTGTGAACAGTACTTGCACATGACATACATGATAACATACAATAGAGAGTGTACATCCAACACTCCTCCTCAATCTCAGTAGTTACTCCAGCAAGTTCACGAAGTTTCTCAAATTGTTTCATCGAAAGTCCCTTGGTGAGTATATCAGCGATCATGTCCTCAGTCGGACAGTACGACAGTTTGATTCGTCCTGCTTCCACCATATCACGAATGTAATGGTATTTTATGTCAATATGCTTTGTTCTTCCGTGTGGGTGCTGATTCTTGGCAAGGGAGATAGTGGACTGGTTGTCTTCGTGAACAGTCATTTCTCCAATATTCTTGTTAAGGAGATCGCTCGTAAGTTGCTGTAGCCATATGGCTTCTTGGACGGCTGCTGACAGTGCGACATATTCGGCTTCTGCAGTGGACAAGGCCACACACTTCTGTTTACTGCTCTTCCAGCTTATAGCGGCACCAGCTTGTGTGAACACGTATCCCGAGGTGGACTTTCTGTCTCCTGTGTCCCCTGCCCAGTCTGCATCAGAGTAGCCAGTGATTTCGCTTCGACTGTTATCCTTGTATCTCAGCCCATATATAGTTGCTTGTTCCTTTCAGATAGCGCAGTATTCTTTTAGTGCTGTTGGGTGTGTTCTGCACAGAACCGAGCCACGCTGCTCACTGTGTATGAGATGTCTGGCCGAGTCTTGGCTGCAGGGTGCCAACAATTGCTTGATACATCTGCTGGTTCAACACATCTTTTGGGTTCTCAGCTGCCACTAGCTTCAAATCCGGGTTGACTGGTGCGCTGACCGCCTTGCAATCGTACATTTTGTACCGTTGTAATATCTTCTCTGTATACGAGGGTTGCCCGTGCCCGATTCAGATTATTCCAGCCAGTATTGGATGATCTTTAGTAATGGAGTGTTCCTAGGTCTAATTTGAGACACAGCTCTCGCTTTACTGCATTCATTTTCGCTTCGCTTTTCCCTCCAAGTATTATGTCGTCTACATAGACAGCCACCAGCAACATCTCTCCTCCTGAATCCGTAGGAACGTACAGACAGGGGTCACCAGACGTTGGCTTGAACTTCATTTCTCTGAGTTGGCTGTCAAGTGCATGATTCCAGCAACGTGGAGATTGCTTTAGTCTGTAAATGCTGCGGTTGAGACGGCAGACTAGATGCTCCTTCCCTTCTTCGACGAATCCTTCAGGTTGTTTCATATATACCTCTTCGGTGAGTTCTCCATTGAGAAAGGCTGTAGATACATCCATCTGATGTAGGTGCAGCTTGTGTTGATCTCCTAGGGCAATTACAGATCTGATAGACTCGAACCGAGCAACGGGGCTGAACGTCTTTTCATAGTCAAGCCCATACTTCTGGCTATATCCTTGGGCAACCAGGCGGGATCTCAATTGAAGCTTGTGGAGGAGGGCCAGAACAGCGGTGTGAATGCTCTAACACCTGCGACATCGATCAAGAACACACAAGACCGAACGCATTGTAGCGTTCCACGACTCCATTGGCATCGACCTTGCGTTTGAAAACCCATTTGCTCCCAATGACCTTCCGACCTGGAGGTGGGTCTACCAGCTTCCAGACTTCATTCCGGCACAGAGACTACTCTATCTCCTTTTCCATTGCTTCCACCCACCTGGCACTGCTGGAGGTGGACTTGGCTTCTGCTGCAGAACAAGGGTCCTGCTGTTCGGTTGAGACCAGTGTCAATTGGTCACTGTACCGTTCTGGTTTCTGTCTGACACGAGTCGATCTTCGTAGACAAGTCACGGAGGTCGGAGTGGGTGCAGGGGGTTCGTTCACAACTTCCGATTCTTTCTCGGACGTCTCATCTGGTTCGCGGTTCTGATCTGGTTCACGATTCTGAGAATTTGGGATCTCTGTTTGTTTGACACTTGGCTCCTCCCCGACCTCAGCTCCACGTACTTGTGAGAGGGTTCCACTTGTATCTGAGCCCCAGCCATAGAAGTTTCATTGAACACGACATCTCTGCTGTGGATAATTTTCAACCGCTGTAGATCATAGAGACGGTAGCCTTTCTGGTCAGACCCATATCCCAACAGTACACATTTTCTCGTCTTCGAGTCAAGCTTTCATCTTTCCACCTTGGGCACATGGGCATAGGCACTACATCCAAATATGCGAAGATGTTCCACATTTGGTTTGGAACCGCTCCATGCCTCATGAGGTGTGACTCCCTCTAGTGCCTTGGTTGGACTACGGTTTCTGAGGTACACCATTGTTGAGAGTGCCTCAGCCCAGAACCGATGAGGGAGTTTCGAATCAGCTAGCATAGTACGCACACCCTCTATCAGTGTACGATTGAGCCTCTCTGCAATCCCATTCTGTTGTGGAGTATGTGGTGTTGTCCGTTCATGTTTGATTCCTTCGTTGGCTAGGTATGAAGTAAACTCTCTGGAAGTGTATTCGCCTCCATTGTCGGAACGGAGAGTCTTCACCTGTCTTCCAGTTGATCTCTCTACCTGGGCCTTCCATTCCTGGAACCGAGCAAACAACTCATCCTTGTGCTTTAGAATATAGACCCAGGCATGTCGTGTGTGGTCATCAATGAAGGTAACAAAGTATTCACCCCCGCCCAGCGATCGGGTTCCAATCTTCCCGCACACATCACTGTGCACTAACTCGAGTGGATGATTTGCCCTTGTTTTGATGGAGTGTTTAAATGCCAGCCGATGACTCTTGCCTTTCGCACAGGATTCGCAGAACTCTGGTTGTTGCTTGGAGTCAATATCCAATCCACTGACCATTTGGTTTTTGGCCAGTGCTTCCATTCCTGCGGTTGCCAGATGGCCAAGACGACGATGCCAGACAGTTCCCATAGCGCTGTTGCTCAGATACGCACGATGAGTAGATCCTCCGTGATCTAGATAGTATAGACTCCCTTTTCTGTGTCCAGAGGCAACTAGCTTGGACTTGAAATCTCTTATTTCACACCCCATTTGCGTAAATGTGGTCACCTTCCCTCTCTTGGAGACAGCAGTTATGCTGAGTAGGTTGTAGGCCAGGTCGGGAACCAAGAGTACATCATGAAGAGTGCAGGTCTTCGTGTTGCCTTGGGGTAGATTCATTGTCAGGACTACGTTTCCACGTCCAGTGGCCTTGAGATCACGACCATCTCCAAGGGTGACACTTAGAGGAGGAGACAAGACTTGTAGGTCATTGAACATCGACTGCTTGTTGCACATGTGGCACGTCGCTCCAGTGTCTAGAATCCACTTGCCGTTTATCCTTCCGTCAGTGGACAAGGCATGCTGTACCACAAGCCCAGTACCCTCAGTTGAACTCATCTTGTGCTGTGATGGTCACTTTGAACGCTCCTACTTTTCTCTTGTCCTTGCTCTTGCTCTTTGCCGACTTCCCTTGATCTTTGACCTTTGCGTACTCTTCACAGTCTTTCTTGAAGTGTCCAGGTTTCTTGCAGAAGTAACATCTCTTGACTCGAGTAGTGAGTGCCGCCCCTTCCTGTGAGCTTGTCTGTTTTACTTTAGCCTCATGATGCAGTAAGCGTTCCATTACTACGCCCAGTGGAGAAACTTCCGCGTTAGCTTCTAGAGCAGTTACTAATACGTTGTAACTCTCGGGTAGACTCGCTAGAAGATAAACGACACGATCCTCATTGTTCACAGGCTCACCGATTGCGGACAGCTCATCGCACACCTCGGTCATCGACTTCAGATGGTCTTGCATCGAGCTTCCTTCTCCTAGCCTCATAGAAAAGAGCTTCCGTTTGAGATCCAACTTATTTACTCACGTCTTGTGTTGGAATTGATTTGCCAGGGCCTTCCAGACTTCTACCGGGTCTGTCGGATCAGGGCAAATTACATACTGGAGGCTAGGGTCGACAGCTAACACAATAGTCGCGAGAACTCTGTCCTGTCTAGCTTTAAACTTTGCTAGTTGCTCACCTCCCTCAGTGGGAGCTTTTTCGGTTCCGTTTACAATTCCCCAAAGTCCTTCCCTAACCAGTGCCATCTTGCACTGCACCTTCCACGTGGCGTAGTTCGTGTGGTTCAGCGGCACAACGGCCATGGTCTTTGACTCGGCCATTCTTGAACTCCGCAGACAAATTCACGAGCATAATCGACTATTAGGTCTTTAGACTAGCAGGCCCTCTGTCCAGACTCCATTCCCTGTGGTGTCGGTCTAGATGGTGAAGGAAGATTTGCGCAGGATCGCTTCGAACGGCCGCGTGGTCTTGTAAGGACTCGGAGCTGAGGAGGTTGGCAGTTCAAGATGGAAGGCATTCACATGCTGAAGTGCTCAGGAGACTAATCGAAGTAGCAGCTTAAACTGCCAACCTCCTCAGTGAGCTGTGGGAGGATACATTTGGTTCTTTGCTTGGCTTTGTTAAAGGTTTTATTTTGGATGTTTGGGAGCTAAGGAAGGTTAGGTTATACGGCGATAATCCCCGCATACAACAGACCCAGTCTCAGATGTGTCTGGTGGGGAGCTGCAGGGTGTCGCTGGTGGAAGGGGTCAGTTGAGGTGTCTGGGAGGTGAGACAGACACCTCATGTTCATATGGTGTATGTTCGTTTGTTAACGGTTCCGCCCATTGCTCTGGGTGCGTGGTCTATGGCCCTAGTGCTATGGCAGCCACCTGAGTATTATTACTGTGTTCTATCATCATATTAATGAACTGAGCTCTAGTAGATGTGAAGTGACAATAAATAACACGTACAGAACACATCATACACTGTCATACACGCACACGAAGTGTTTTCTCGCTGCAGGCGGATCAGGCAGATCCGGCGGTTTAGCGAAAAGGGCCCAGACGGATATTCGTCATCGTAGTTCGCCCTTCACCGGTCACAAATTTTCCTACCGATCGATTCACAGGGAGTAGATTCCAGGGATACCTACTGATCTCCGCCTCAAAACGATCTGCAAGGTTCCCGGGTAGTCCGTCAAAAAATCCATAGAGTCTCTGCGCGTTGGTATCAATGACGAGATTGCTGTTTTTCATACCCACGTTCAGTGCAATGATGTCGATGAACTGCTGAAAAGCAATACAACTCTGGGCTGCCGTCGCCCCAACTGGCGGGATAGGCACAGACGTGGGGAACGGTCCTAGATGGTGGTGGTGGTGAAACTTCTCGTTGTACATGGTACAAGGGGTACAAAGAAGGGTGAGGTTACAAGGTAAAAGCCTAAACATGTGGCAACCATGTTGCGCCTATAGACTCCTAGACTCGTATACATGTAAAAAAACACACACAACAGTTATTGATGCTCTGAAGGGTATGGAGGGGGAAGGGGGAAGGGTGCAGAGTGGGGCGGAGTGCAATCACGTTACTGTGTTCCTGGAGCACCAGATTTTATAGGACTCCAGAAGAGTTGTCCAAATAACACTGAGGCAGAGGGTTGAGATGCCTGTGCTTCTGCAGGAATTCTGTTGTTTAGCTTTTGACCACATGTAACACTCGCTTGTCTTGAGTGATAATTATGGCTGTTTGACCGGAAGTGCTGTGCTCGCCCCATTAGAGGGAATTTGCTCAGAGCAATTTCCGCAGCTATGTTGTAGATGCCCTTGCTCTGCAAGAGCCACATTGCGCTTGAGTAGTCAAACCATTCGATGACAGTACCATGGGTACGTCTGTGTATACGTACACAATAGATGCTCTGGGGCTGACTGTTGGTTTAGCTCCTCTTGGCCTGCAGTTCTCTTTTGCTTGGTAGGGCTGAAGTTGGCCTTTGTGGCGCCTCTGCTTCTGCCTTTGCCCGTCTCCCCGAGCAGCTTGGGTGGGGCGGCCAGATCGAAAAAAACTGCCGGGTGTAGTTCCGCCTCGTGCTTCCTAAGAAAGTGCACCGAGTCAATGTGATCCTTCACCGCCTTTCGAAGTCTTTGTCAAAAAGGTAGGGTACTGCTGACACGAACCTCTCCGGTTCCTCAACCAGCGGGAGCAGGTCTTTGTTAAGGTGTCCTGCAATTTTCTTTGGCTCCTGCTCGGTTTCCACCTTATCGTCCTGGGCGTCGGATGGCCATGTGACGGCATTAGTAAGAGGTGGTTCATTTAGTGACTTGTCAGCCCTCATTTGCGCCGGGCAGGTGGATGACCCTTGCTGGCAGCCTAAGCTGGCCAAGGGCTAGGGCGTTGCCTAGTTCTAACCTATCCATCCTCTTGTTGATGTGAGACATAACACCTAATGTGAGAATTTCGGACATTATTGCCCGAATTCTGGCATGATGTCTTGTGCCGGGGTAGCTCGGCTCCCTTGAGAGTGAATCTCGATCTTGGTTTCAGAGTCACCACCTTGTAAGGCTGGTCTCCACTCTTACTCGGTCTTGTGCGGGCTGGCTGAAAGAGCGTGCTTCACTGGCTCAACTGCCGTCCGCTATTCAGGAAGAAAGGCAGCTCCAGCCATTCTTTACCGTTCTACTAATATAGCTTACACCAACCCACTGGACGGTTTAGTGATACACCACTTGTAGTGTATAGCCACCAAACCGTCTCGTGGGTGTGATGTAGTAGAATATAGTCATCCCACCTACATAACAGTTTACAATTAACCATAATTTAGCTGTGATAAACTTGACCCGCCTTCATCTGATAATACGGCTTATTGGTTTTGCATCTTAAAGGTATCATCCAATGGTTTACACACACGTGGGAACTACGAGGTAGTAGAAAGGCAAAGGCACAACAAACAAGTCAACTACACTCAGGAGAAAGAGAGCTGCCCTGGGTGAGATCTGAACTCAAGACACTGCATTCCTAGCTACCAACTGAGCTACCAGGGCAAACGCTCTACCACGTTCATAGGTCGGTATAATATTGGACTCTGACCCAAATAAACGTGCATTATAACCACATTTTACGCAGTGCCTCAAAGTGCCCCTGGACAAGGAGACAAGCCTTGCCAAGCCCTTTTACAGGTAGATTATCCCTACACGGTGAGAGGACAGTTCTAATCAGCTAACTTGGCGGATCCACTGTTTAGTTGTAGTCATCCGACCCAATATGCTGTTCATAAAATACCACTACTAAAACTACCAAAATGATGACTAGTGTATGCTTGTCAATTTGGTCAAATTCATATTTGCTCATGTGACTTTCATGTGACAACAATGGCTGCTGGATAAAGGACCTTCAGAATCAAGTGCTCGTGGGCCGATAAAAGAGCTGAATCGGCACTAGATTGGCTTGGGCGAGGCTTGGGGTTTTCTCTTGAACATGGCACTGTCCGCTGCTTAGGCTGCCATACCTAAGCGTCTGAACAGTTGCAAAATGGTATATCTTGGTATCCGCTACACTTTCGGGGCCTTCGTGGCTACGAGCGGAAGGTGAGCAAAGTAAAACTTTACCTTCCTATTTCGTTCTTCAGCAGTGGGCTTTCTCGGGCCTCAAAGTTCAAAACGATACTAAATCTATTGAAAACTTGCGTGTATAGTAAAAAAGTGGGTTCTTACCTTTCTCCGAGGCAGTACGAGCTTCACGCCAATGTATGGAGAATGCCATTGACTCGTAGCTGCCAACTCAGCAATTAAAGCTCGTGACGTCATCGTGTCGCACCTCCTCTACTTCAGAATATCGGTTAGGCTGATTTTTTCCACAATACTTTGAGTTAAGAACTGAAATATGTACAATCTTTGTATACTAGAGGGAAGAAAAATTTCAGTTGCAATGGTCATCTTTAGGTAAGCTCTCCGATTGCATACTTCACATCTTTAATAAACCTATTATCAATGGCAATTCACAAAATCCCGTAGGTACCTTTTAAGCCAAAGCACTGTGTTTTGGCAGCCAGAGTTGCTCATGGTGGTTTGTAGCTAGCTTAGCTCGAGAACTTGACACGTGTTGTACCCCATTTGTCCTGCGAGGGAGGTATTAGCTATACTAGCTGCAGGCACTGTGAAGCTAGGTCACATGTCCCTGGAAGTGGAATCGGTGCAGTCGCCGCGGTAGAACGCCACATCATGAAAAGTTATGGGGCAGGTCCTGGCCTAGAAGGCACCCCAGAACTGCTTACTTTCCATTGTGTAAGTAACTCGTGGAAATTACACTCGATTGAGCTGCCTCATAGTCAGTCTTGAATGATAAATAGTAACATCTGCTGCGTGTCAGTCACTATTGCATCATCCATGACTTACTCGGTATCTAAATGCCCATAATACTTCCGCTGAGGCTTCTCACCTACACATCAAATAGTGAAGCTAGCCCATTTTCAGAAGGCTCCATATATCAATGCACTCAGACATCTAGTCTGTAGGTAAATTTTAATGGCTAGGGTTATCATTCACAGATAATCTTACCATCATTAGAAGGGTGCAAATTTTGTGTGTGCCTAAATCACACTCCTTGCCAGTTTTTTTCCGGATTAGAAAAAGATAGGCTCTTGTTAGCATAAAAAGGCTCCACATCTCCGGCTCATTAGCCTTTCTTTCAGCTCATTAGTATGCATGAAACACACCATACACCATGGCATGCATACTAATAAGCTGTCTTCCTACGCAAACATTATGCGCGATCTCTATGGCTTCTAGGCAGGGAAAACACTGATATAACTTGCTATTTTTACTTTATGACATACCTTTCTCTGACTATAGATATCTTTATGAATGTACATAATTTTATCTATACAACTTATTTTTTTATCTATACAGGGATGATTGTGTCTATTCATTTGCTTGTTCTTCTCTACCCACACATTCACATTTGTCAGAGATGGTTTGTAGATAGAGACAATTGCAATTTTAAATCCAGTGTATTTTAATGTGTAATAGTATTGCATTATAGTTAAGTTCTATTTTTCATTAAGTGTTTATGACAAGTGAAAGTCTGTGTTTTTATGTGTAGTTATTTTTACATTGCAGTGATGATTGTGAAAGTGTGATTCGTATTTCTGAGGAGTTTATAGCATGTGGCATGCCATTCGTAAAAACTAAAATCCAATCAGTGGCTATAAGCACTTCAGGGCTGAGCTATAATCAGCTGGGATCATGCTCTCCCCCCTGTGTTCCCAGACCTCACTATGTCGTGATACCAATAGAATTTTAGTTAGAATTGGAAAAGATCAAGCTTCTGTAAGGCTAGATGTTGTTGGATTATAAGCTCAAGCATGGTCATAATAGCTGCCTTGGCAATCTGAGATGAGCCCTTTTCCCGATACTGTCCTGTTTTGCAATCACACGTTCCAGCTGATGAAGGTAGTAAATTGTGTAACCGAGAATATGGTCATTTTAGGTGCTTGTTCGAATTTCTGGGAGCTTAAGAACCAAAGCTCAATGTACATATTTCTAGTCTATGAAGCCAGAAAAATTTCACCTCTAAAACCTTTAATTCATGGGGCATACGCTTGTTTTGGAGGTCTTTGGGAGGTAGTCTGAGTTTGCAGCCGTACAATTTTACTAGACTTAGAGGCTGTTTTTTTTAAAAAGGGTGACAAGAGGAGATTTTGTAGGTAAGAATGTTTCAGTCTTGTTTGTCAAACAATCCTTGATTCTCGTGTAAAACCTAGTGATATGCTACAAGCTCAGAGTATATACACCCCTCTGGCGACTCCATCACTACCAATACTGAGATCTGATCCCGAGATCTGAGTAAAACAACTTGGGAGGAGGGTTGTGAATATTGAGTAAAGTCCTTGTGAGGATACAGCATTGTCGCACCCTGGGAGATTTTTTCCTATATAATCCCTACTTCAAATGGCACTAACCGTAAACATGCACTAAGCATACAATTAACATCCACATTCCCACTATGATGGAATGTAACGCACATGTGATCGTGTTGGTGCGGGCTGTGCAGCGCAGCAGACCAGCAACTGATAATATGAGAACATACCTCAAACTCTAGGAAACGGATGAGCAGGCATAGTATGTACATACACATCTTTTTCAGACTCTGAATGCCATCTTCTATGACGTTTGAAAAGCCGGTCTGGTTATTATCTCAACCTGGGTGGCTACCGTTGTACCCTCTCTGGCATCAGGCTATGCTGATAGAATTGGTTTGAAAGAAATTGGGCTAGTGAGCTTTTGTAAGAACCACTTAGGCGGGTTAAAACTTAGGACTGAAGCTCTGAAGCTTTCCTCCACTTGGTTAGCAATGATCAGCCAGTGCCTTCACTACTATCTTGAACTTCTTTTCTGCATGATAATATACACTGAACAAGTCACACAACTGCCTTGTCAGCAAAGTTCTTTTATCAATGAAAAAGCACAGAAGTTCAAACCCTCAGCGAACTGCGCGTGCGTGGTACTGCTAATTCATTGAAGGGCTGCAATTAAAAAATTCTTCGAAATAAAGATGTGTGGAATATAGGGATACCATAAAAAGCAAGGAGACAAGACAGGGATGACCTAGTGCATTAGTACAATGGGATGATGGTTATATCTTATAACTGGACATTTCTTGCTCGTGTAAATTTTACTCCACACAAGCCCTATATTGTCACCACTCTTACTCATGACATGAGTTTTGAATAAAGTAGTGTGAAGACTGGCAAACGAATTCTGTAGAGGAAGCAGCATTGTAAAACTGGTTAGTTGAGCGAACGTTGAAGTAAATACAGTCACGATTCAAAACTGAGGACCTGTCAGAGGGCATTTGCTACCAGTCTTACATGCATAGGAAACGAGTCATAGCTGCACATCATATGATAGAGATCACTCGTCCTTTGCGACAATAATATAGAGCTTGTGTGGAGTAAAATCTACACGAGCAAGAAATATCAGTTTGAAGACGTAACCATCATCTCATTGCATCCCTGTCTTGTTTCCTTCCTTTTTGTGGCATCCCTATATTCCACTTTATTTCGAAGAATTTTTTATTTACTTTTTACCTTCTCTTTTTTTACTGCATTCACATGCATGTTGTCCAATAAAAATGGGATATTTTTGGGCAATAAGCCCATAAAAAGTAACATTAAGCTATCACCTCAGACATTTTGTCGTCATTCACGTTTCATTGTGAGAGGACCCATCATAAGCAAGTTATAGGCACTGACACCATTTAAGTCTTTTTGCCTGAGGCTGAGTGTTTGTTGTTGTTACAAACCTTTAAATGTGAGTTTCAATGAAATCTTTATGATGGGAATCAGTGTACCAAGCTTCATTGTTAGATGACCCAACACAGTCAGTTAGTTGTATGTAGGCACAAACGCGCATGTGTACGAATAATTTATTGCGACTGCGGGTGTGTGTGTTGTTGTTACCAACTGTAGAGAGTATGATGGAATGCTTATTCATTGTGAATCAGTTGTAGGGTGTGGCTGGAGGCGCTCGAGTGCCGCAAATTTCAGTTTGTTGAGAGGCAGTGCGCACCATAAGCATAAAGTTATAAGCGAGCGCAAACATGCAGTCTGCAAGTTTTATTGGTGTGAGTGGTGTTTGTTGTTGTTTACAAACGTGGTGTTAATGTTTCATTCTTGGATACTAATGGATGCGCGGTCTACATATGTGTACCAGTTCCATGTTTAGAGGACCAGACCGATAAGACAGGTTAGAGGGCACAATAAAGCGAGAACGTGTAACTTACCTGAGGGTTGTTTATTTTGAATCTGAATGAGGGTTGCGAGGTTGCGTGTGTGGTTGTGAACAACGGTCTAGGTACTTTGCTTCTACCTAGTGTAGCAACGCTTTAGCACTATAAGTACGTGTAGTACGTAGTATAAAGTAAGATTAAAAATCCTGGCGAATTGTAAAGAAAGAGGGGACATAGGTAGGGATGGTAGTTAGAAAAAAAGGGAGGACCAAGATAGGGATAGGGAGTACAGGAGGTAGCGATGGGTTAATGAACATATTGTTGTAGCATCGCGATCAACGCCCCGAGATGTCCCACTCTCGCCCATGTACACGATTAGCACGTAAATCCCTAAATTAGGGTTGCCTGTTTGTGCGTAGTGCTGTATATACCAGGGAGAGCCCCTAAAAGGTGTACTATATAAAAGCAAGCAGTCGTGTGCTAATCATTTGCTCACCGTATAATAATGGTCACAGTCTGTTTCATAAAATTTTTGAGACCTCCACTTGGCCTCTATAAGGGTTTCGTTTGGTTACTCAGCGTAGCATGACTTTTTGTGAATTGTAAGGTGGCTGAGGGTGGGTAATAGTGATGTTTAATACCTTCACCTTAGCAACAGATATAGGGATTGGGGTAGTAGGGGGGTGGGGTGGTCGAGAGTGCGTCATATTCTGGTCCATTAATCAAGGTGCTTCATGTGTATCGCGCAATGTCTTATGCCGTGTTCTCTCCCTTTCGGTTTGATACAGCAACATGAAGGCTTCTTTTTTAACTGTGATCGCAGGCTTGTTAGTTTAGCTTGTCTCCCAACTACCATGTTTCTATGTGGAAAGGGGCAAGCACCCTATAACATTGAATAATAGAAAGAAAAGTGCTGTTTGTGGGTCATGGAAAGTAGTGGGAATATCCAGGGTACCAAGTTTGCGTGTAGGAAAAATGCCTGCAAGTTTTGTTCCAGGAGCGGTGCTGTTCATGGAAGGACATGGTAATCGTCAGTGGAGAATGAGTATAATAGACATTCATGACGTGTTAACCCTCCTGTGCCGTGAGTACAGTTTTAGCAAGTTTGAGGAGTGACGAAGTGATTTTTAAAGAAAAGTGCCTGGGCTTATTTGATTTATGTGTGGTTGATTCATGGCGGAATACGATGTACAGCATAAGGCGTGGACCAAGTTTGTCATCTCAGGAGGCGTGGTCACAGTGTAGCGCGAGTTGAGGATGGTGTGTTAGGTGAAGAAGTAATTTTAAAATGAAAAAGACACTGAGGCATTTGTGGTGGTGGTGTCATGGGTGGAAGTAAGCGGCTGCGAAGTATAAACTTACAGCCCGGTCGACGTCGCTCCTCTGGGCACTCTCGAGTGCATGTCGAACTCTCCGTCAAGAAAGCAGCATCGTTCAGCCGTTTTCAGATTATACTGATATTGAGATAGGGAGGGGGATATTCATGAAGCTATGGGTAGATGAACAGATTTGAGACCATGACCACCACTCACAACCCCATGTGCAACAATCCCTACTAGTGTTGCATGGTGGCTACTCGGTTTTATAGGGGCTAAAGGGTTACATAATAGCAATGAATGTCTTTCACACCAGGACGTGCCCTTGGTTTGGTGGCGTGTGTTTAGAGTGACCAAATTCATGTTAATATAACTCCAGTTGGAGTTCGTGATCACGGGTTGGCTACTCACTGTTGTGTGTGTATGTGTAGAAGTTCGCTGAGTACTGTTATGGGTGAATGGTCTGTTTTAATATTCACCTAGGCCAAAAAGATAGGGACTGTGTGTATGGGTGGGTTGGGTGGTGGTAGTCGAAGTCTTCTCCATTAACCATGAGTTCATGAGTATCAAATCACTAATATGTCTTACTCAAGTTTCTTTTGTATACATCTCATATTAGGGCCTTACGTTTTTAAATCACATAGAGTGTTTAAGATTACTGTGTCTACTACCCTAATTTTTAGTGCTACTAAGTTTATATCGTGTAAAGGGACGAGAGACACCCCATATAAAATTGATAAATAGACGATAAATGCACTGGGGTGAGTAAGAATGAGTTGGTTTCTGAAGGGGAGTGGTAATA